CGAGGACGAAACGAATATTCCCGCCGAGTTACATCGGCAATGAGCCTCATAGCGCAAGCAATCCATCCCCAACTCGGATCGTCGGTGTAAAAGCCTCCAGAGACTTCGTGTACGTCTAAACTCACCTCTAAAAGCCTTCTCTCAACCTTCACCTTCTCGAAGGCTTTTCTGATACCGCCGCTCCGTACTGTCGCTCAAGAATGACGCCAGCAGAAAGTTATGAATATTGTTATAAAAAACTAGTCCAACAGCGAGGCCTGATCAATATGGTATGGCCTGAATGAGGACACAAAATTGTTGTTTGAGGACATGCAAATGTCCACGGCCATCTGCTACTGGTGGGCAGACACAGAAATGAAAGACACTTCATTCCTTGATACAGGCCGAGAGAGTAATGCCTACAATGAACCTTATTGTGTGAGTGATCTAGTGAGTTGGAGTTTGGCTGAAAAGTTCGATACACATGAGCTTAGCCTAAGTATCTCCAGAAATTCATAGAGTAGATAGGTTCATTCCAACAAGTCAGTTTTAACTCAGTCCGCCGCTTTGACAGCAATGAATACGAGGGTGAGTGGAATAAGATCTTTATTTACTGGCGAATAGCCAGCTAAGAATAGAGCGGACTTTAGCGACATGACCGCATTGTCGTTCGGTTGCCGCTTGTATGGAGCATCGTGAACTAGCCTGTTCGATGAGAAACTTGGGCGCAAATGAGTCGACCGAGTGTGACGCTTAGACCGGGAGATTTTTGCGAACACAAGGCCATGTCATGTCTCCTGAGTTTGGACCTCGAGCGTCGTAGTTATGATTCTTCAAATTAAATCCAAACACTCAGCCGCAGCCTTCCGCGACTGATTTGCGTTTGCGTAGGACGTGTTCAGGAGACATCCATCAACCGACCATGCAGACAAGGACAGCCAGCGAGTTCGACAGTCTCGCCCGAGCCTGCGCTCGTGCTGCTTGTGAGGTGGGGGGCCGCGATTTCTATGTGGACACAAGGCAGATCGCCATGCAACGGCCGAGCACCCCCCAGACCTGACCATGCTGCGCATGGTTTCCGGGGCTATCTACGCCGGAAGCAACTTCTCGCCCTGATCTTCACCCGTGAAGATGCTCAGGGGTGCAGCGATCGCCATGGGAAACATCGCGGCTGAGGAAAGCCTGTCCTCTGCTTCTCCCGCGTGGGCACAACTACTCTCCCCAACTGTTGCGTCTGCGTTTCACGGAGCTATTTCGGTACCGCCACACGCAAAGTACCGGCAGGAAGACGACCAGACTCAACGACCAACAGTGTCTACCGTGTGAGATTCGCTTCACCTTAGCTCTGCCAACTCAGCATTAGCCATCTTTTTAATAGCATGAGCCGCCCGAAAACGATGTAATCAAGGTGGAGTGGTATTGTAGTATGCTATCCAGCCCGTTTCACGACCTCATCTGGATAAAATGGTCGCTGCTAGCAATTCGATATGGCTTAACTAATTTACCACGGCTGCAGTTGAAGTTCCCGTTTAAGTAGCGATAACCAGCTCCTATGTTTCCAAATCAACATTCAGACAACCTTTACTCCGAATATAAGCATTTTTTAATCGAAATTCCAGGTTTTCCTGCTTAAGGCTCTCGGGTGACGCTGGTAAGAACAAGTTGGATACCTATGGAGTGCGGCATCCGCTCAAATCTTAATACGGGAGAGTTCCTTGCAGCGCGTCAAGATACGAGGGAGTGCACCATGGTTTTCCTCCCCAGCAGTAATTATTAGGAGCTGTGTTCAACGCAACTTCTTTCCAGATACGTACTGAATATATACTGTTGCAGTAATAGTAGGCGTCGAGGAGAAGTCGACAAAATCTCTTTTCTATAACGCAGGGTTTTTAGGTTACGGTACCCGCATACAAAGAACCATTCCAAGCTGCCGGCAAATCTATTGCGCAGATAGTTCCGAGTTGTGCGTTCCTTAAGCTCAACTTCTAAAGTAATACCCGTAATGAAGTGAGTTAGACTGTACATTAGTAAACGGAAAAGAAATCAAACGACTAGTCTCAATTGGAAATGTCCATCAACGGCCTTGACTGCCACCTGAAGAATTTTTCGATTAGATTTTCACTGGGGCAAATCGTAGGCGTGAATGTAAGACATCTACTGCTGAGCCACGTGATATACGCCAACTGTTAATAACAAACTTGCCATTCAGCAGGCTTACTTGATCATGTATGCAAAAAGCTCATTCTTCGAACCATTCTCGTGGTTGTTTCATTTTTTTGTGATATGAGGTTGTCTGCGTGAACACATGCACATAATCCCGATTCGAATGTGGCTAATTGGGTTGAGCCGCGGACTGAATGCGAAGACAAAATGTACGCGACTCATTGTTTTGTCTACTGACGATAGAAAGGTAAACACTTAAATATCTGAGCAGCTACGCAAGATACCTGTCCAGATATATGTCATACACAGAATTAAAAAGTACTTAATTGTGAGGGCTAAAATCCAAACTACTATCCCTGTGATCATCGAGTCTTTCAAGGGGAGAATATTCCTATGGAATAAATTTAATTCAAATATTTATTAGCTAGGTTGATGCTCAGCACAGTTTTAGTCGTGTCTAGGGATCTAAATGGTGTCAAATGAATCTACGCAATCATACTAAGCTACTCTCAAAATTTGATCGTTTCGACGTTCAAACGTCGCTCTTTCGGTTTGACTATCAATCCAAGTATGATTTAATCTTGCGAAACATGCGAAATCTACAAATGTAGTACTAACAGAGGAATTAAGACTGTATAGTAGAGATTCGTAATTAATTATTGTAGTTTGATCCATGTATTTCTACAATGTTAGCAAATACTAGGTATTTAAAAACAATGTCACACTATTGCTATGACAATAATTGTCGATAAATATGTGGTATTATGTCTGGGCACAAGACTAAACCCCACATGTACTCGTCGTGATTGTGCCCGAAGTGTAGAAGGAACTCTGTGTCCTTCAGGGATGGATTCGATAAATATTGCGCTTTATCATCCCTACCCGTAGGACGCTTAGAGGGTCGATATTGGTGATGAATCTGCTATCAGGCCGGTCTAGGTCAGTGGTATGATTCTCTTGTACTCAGCCCTGGAACAATTGTAAGTAGCTGATACCGACAGAATCTTCATCTTCATCCCTTGGCGACAGCCTTAATCGAGTCGAAGAAGGATGAGACTGTTCGAATCCTACAGCTGTATGACTCGCTGAACAGAATTAAGCTTTTATTGCATGTTGGACAAACTACAGTTTCGTTCAGGTTTTGGATATCACTGGCCGCTAGATCGGTCATCATTTTGTTGCAATTATCTAGAGATTCTCGTTGAACAAATAGCTTCGTTAGTGTGTGACTGATGCTCAATATCATATTGGGATAATTGCCCAACCTTGTAAACCTGCAGCTCCTTAATTATTAAGAACGAGCATGAAGTGGCGCAAATAAATATGAGATAAATCGATCTCGGCTTAATATACTGCCTCTAGATTAGTTTGCTTACTGATGCTGACGGTCATGCTGATGTCGATGATACTGAGGTCTGCTGAAACACGTTTTAAGCCTCATTTGCCCCGACTTTTTCGAATTTTTTGTCCTAGAGTTGTGCCGAGATAGAACGGGATTAACAGAGGAATTCTGAATCTGCATTGAATCAAGGAGCTGCATCGATTTTAAAAATAGATTGGGAGTACATTGCGCAACCTCACGTAGAACACAGTATGTAGCCTAGTCGCATGCAGGAGGTGGAAAAGGTGTAAGATTCGACTACTAGTGCTGCGGATTCGAGCAGATCCTCCGCCACATGGCATTATTAATCGCTAACTACAGCATCGGTCAATTTTACCCGTGCATCAGATTTGAATTTGGGCAAAGTAACACGCATGTCATGCTCGCCACCTGCCAGCATCGCCTACTTGAGATGAGTCAGGCCCAAGCGGCGGCTTGGCCCCTGCCTTTTAAAAACTGAAGCCGAGCATCCGAACCTTTTCCAATCATTTGAATCTAATCAATCAATTTTGCATGAGCCACTCGACTGTAATTGCATCTTTCTCCACAATATCTGCCATTCCTGCTTGTTCATCTATCGTTTTTCTTCAATTGAAGTTTACAGATAGCGATTGATGTAGGGTTGGAAGAAGCATTAAATGTGTTACATTATGCTGCTCATTTCTCGCGATCATGATTGGATGCTATATAGCTTGCTCACTAGAGAAACTATTAGCATATTTAATTAATATTAAGTACATGTGTGAAATCCGCGTCAGTCATTGTCTTGAAGATCAAAATCGTCAGTAATAAGGGGGTTGTGACAATCATGTCAGGCACGAGTTCCGATGCATTATGGTCTAGGTTTGCCCAGGGTAAAATGTTTTGTCCTCTTTCAAAAGAAACATGATTTTTCAATTGCGCGCCATCAATGGGTAAAGCCAAGCCATTGATTGGCCAGGATCCGTCCTAGCCGGTAATTGCTATTTTGGTCGTAGTGGCCAGCCATACTTCTCCCTACATATAAAAACTGCGCCTCGCCCTCGCCCGATTATACGAAAACTTGTTGCCGAGTTGTCTCTATCGACCGCTGACCAATAACCTCAGCCACGCGCGAATACATTTTTTTAATCAACCATAGCGTATTGATTCCAGTGCCTTACACCCGCTCATTCTGAGGAGCAGTAGTTCACTGGTCTCAAAGACCCCTTCAACTTTTTCTCATTCCTGTCCCAATAAAGGTCTAAGTCAAACATAAACCAATACGATATCAACTTGCTACAAGTAGGGCTTTCCAAACTCAACACGTAAACAATACTACCACCGTCGCGACAAGATTCTGATATACGAAAAGAATCAATAACACAAGCTTCATTAGTCTATCATTATTGTAACCCACCTGGAAACCACTTTACCCGGTCTACTCTACTACGCTAGACTGCTATATTTATATTAACACAGCTACAAACAAATATAAGCGATCAATTCCCGATAAAACATGGAGCAGATTCAAACTCATCCGTCTAACGCTGCACAAGCGAAGACTTTCATTGCGCCTGGTTCCCTCTCTTTTCCAGGTGGCGCTGGTGACCTCACACCGCCCTCTACCGACATAGAAAAGCAGAAGGTCGCTCAAGCAAATAATGCTCATCAGGCTGTCGTGGGAACTACTGGCAATGGTATCACACCCGCTACTCCTGCGGCTACGCCAAACGCGTCACATGGTGCCACAATAGGTGTCAGCGGTATAGTGCCAACGTTGCAGTATGTATAATCCTTGAGCCTCATCCTGAACATGGGGCTTATCTTGCATGTCAAGGAACATCGTTGCCACTGTCAATTTAGATTGTCGGTTGGACCTAAAGACGATTGCCCTTCATGCCAGGAACGCAGAGTACAACCCTAAGGTATTACTAATGAGGATTAACTCTTCACATTAGATTTGCTAACCCCAACAGCGTTTCGCAGCTGTTATTATGCGGATACGCGAGCCCAAAACCACAGCGTTGATATTTGCATCCGGAAAGATGGTAGTTACAGGTGCAAAATCAGAAGATGATTCTAAACTAGCCTCTCGAAAATATGCTCGAATAATACAAAAGCTTGGATTCAACGCTAAATTTACAGACTTTAAGATACAAAATATCGTCGGATCTTGTGATATCAAATTCCCGATACGGCTGGAAGGACTAGCTTCTAGACATCACAATTTCAGCTCCTACGAACCTGAGTTGTTTCCTGGGCTTATTTATCGAATGATTAAGCCTAAGATTGTACTATTGATTTTTGTTAGCGGAAAAATAGTCCTTACAGGCGCCAAAGTTCGTGAGGAAATATACCAAGCTTTTGAAATGATTTATCCAGTTCTTCAAGGTAAGAATATAAATAATATGCAATTGGCACACTAACTTTGTTTAGATTTCAAAAAAGTCTGAAGAGCCAATTTCTAAACCAGGAAAATAAATAAACTATATGCCAATTTGTAATTCGCAAAGGCTTGTATTAGTATCTGTCAAGTTCATGAATTCACGATCTGTTTCTAAAAGTTGGAATTACGGGTAACGTTTATTGATTTATGTTCGCGGTACCTTGTGATGATCAGGGCGGCATTGCAAAGGAGTCGGGAGAAAGTGAGTGAAAATGAAACTTTCATACTATTTGAAGAACGGTCGTTTGAGGGAATTTTTGAAACATAAATTTGGAGTTGGTATGATCAGGGATCAAAGACTACTGAAATTTCCAAGTTGCATCCAAAAAAATGAAATTAGGAGGTAATTAATTATTAGGCAAAAAACAGTAGCATTAATAATTGCACAAAACACTCACAAATCAAAAGTGACATCGGCCTCGTCAATAACTACAGCGAGGAAAGCAGATTCACGTCTCAACGGTTCCCGGATATCTCCAATGAATTCACAATCAAACTGACGATCAATCCCCTTTCACAAGTCTTCAACCCTAGTGATTACACAGCAAAGAGAATGTATGGTAAGGTGACATAATAATTTATTTATTCATACAGGCAACCCCCTCTAATAAAATAAATAGTAAACAGGTCTGCTTTGCTACACAGACAAGGTGAGGGGATTTGTGTTATAAATAATGATGTTTGTAATAATATCATAGTGGATAATGTGAAAAATTCGGTTAGCAAGATAGGGCTTTTTGTTTATTGCCCTATTGAGCCAATGGCCACACTAGAAAATCCAGGCCATCTCTCCTGATCGACTAGAAGCACATGTAACACGGGAGGTCAACCCCCTGTTGTGAATTTCTAGTGGGTTCATTTTTCGCGGCAAAATCTCCACGGGTATTAATTAGGACATGAGCTCAGAGTATTTGTCATCCTGATATATTACCACCCATGTGTGGGTCTTGAAGTGAAAGACACCGGCGGGTGTATGGCTGCAAGAGAAAATCGCAACTGCCACTAGGTGCGAACCCTCCCACCAGCATGATTACAGAATCTGAGGAAATGACTAGCCTCACGAACCACTTGCAGAAATTTGATAGCTGGGCGTAACAGGCCTCTTCAGACCTTGGAGAATCTGTCAAATGTCCCAGCCTCTTCCTTTTATATACCATGACTGATGCCGCAGGGCAAACAGAAGGTTGTGTAAGGATGTCAGAAAGGCCTCGATTAGGAGCAACTACTGTAAGGCAGCCTAGCCTGGCATGCAAAAGTCGGGACTAACCTGAAATTGTTGAGTAACCCATGTGGTCCAGAAGCTCTCTGTTACCAGCGTCATCGTCGTCTTGATCTTTGTAGGTGTTTCCTAAAGCCTATCTTTGAGACCGGTCAAACAAGTTGGGTGGATGATTAGTGACGTTAGTCAGCTACGTCAGCACTGTAGTGAAGAGAGAAGAAGATTGAAAGTGCTGAACAGTCAAATAGTGTGGCTACTTCATGCCGGCAAAGACGAATTCTTCATCTTCCAGTGGTGCCGGTGTAATCGCTCAGTATGCTCTGCATATCTGGGATAGCCAAGAAGAATTGCATCCGAATCGAGGTCGAAAGCAACCTCAAACACATCTTCATTTGACGAATTCTCGGCAATGCCTCTCTCATCATTGTCATCTGAGTCCTCAACCCATCTCTAACCATGCATCATCTCGCCTCAACGACCAATAAAGAAGTTACTCCAATTGCATACAGGAGCTTGCCCCATTTATCTCCAGCCATCTCTCACTATATATTTACGATGTTATTTATACCCGTAAGGAGGAAATCAAGTCGAAAAATACAAAGCCTGGATCTTGGCTTGTGTGGGACTGTTGCTCTAATGGGACAAACAACTTGAGGAAGAACAGGCGGTTAAGATGTGGAGCGAGACGATGAACAGGTATCTGAAGACCATGCTGGGACCGATATTTTTGAGGAGTTTTCAACTCTGGTCTTTTTGTGGGCGCCAAGACCAAGATTTCGGCTGATTAGCCGGGAGGGCTTCTATTGTCGATGAGTCAACGGCACTCCCCAGCGCCCCGGACGGTACAAAAGAAATTAGGCTAAGCCACCATACAGCAATCACGCTCTGTCAAGACTTTTCTGACATTTCAGCACGACCTTCGGGAAGGAGTTGGAAGGAGGCTAGAAAGATAGAGGGTGAATTTCCCGAGGTACCCACAAGTCTGCAGCGCCCAGCTGGCCGGCCTCTTCGAACGCTTCAGAAGGGGCAATATGTCTTCGGATTTATTCCTAATGTCGGTATTGGAAGAGCCCCGCACCCAGTGGTTTTTGCGAATTTTCCCGGCTGCCATACACCCGCAAATGGCCATCGTTTCGTTGGCTGGAGAGGGGAGATAATGAAGGGCTAAGGGCTCCTCTTAGTGTATGATCGAATGAGGACTTGTGAGGGGTGGTACTGTTTGAGGGGAGCTGTATAGGAGGCATAGGAGGGGATATACTACTGGAATAGGTATCCTTGGCCTGTAGGCAGAGAGGACCTGCATGTCCCACATAGTCATAGACTCAGACAGGACAATAAAATGAATTAATAATAATGGGGCTACTAATTAGCCTAGTTTAGCAGAACCGAGCTAGACTTAACATGATTAATAAGCACAGGGTAGGTATTTTCTTTGCTACTGTGTGCCTATTCCAACTGAATAAATTTGCAGTCAATCCTTCTCTAGCTTTGCCTCATTTCTATTAAAGAGCGGTTTCCTGTCTGGTGATCACGAGAAGAGGAAGTGGAAGGAAATCAGCTCTAAGGTAGAGGTAGGAGAAGTAGATTGGCTATGAGGAGGGAGTGTCTAGGAACAGGCAGAGACTATATGTTGACATGCATGTACCACATGTACGCACGTCATCTTACATAGGGCCAGGTTGAGGCGAGGCCATGACTCTGGTTGATACATTTTTCTCCTACTAGGTTTCATATTCTCTATATAATTCTTTGGGTGGCTATTGCACTAAACCTTCTTGTTATTTTTTTCTATCGAGAGAGCAAGTGTAAGTCCCTTGGAGGTCCGGAAAGCATTGGAGAATGCCATTGGGGAGGAGGTTGCTAAATAATTTAATGTTAACCGCAATTTATGTGGATAATTTATGAAGGCGGGTGACTTATTAAAATTTGATTGGAGCTCTGTACTTCCATAATCCTCTAAAATTAATGTTTCCCTTACCTTACGAGAGAGTAAACCATGCATGTAGTCGTACATCTATGCTTCTTCTTCGCGAATTTTTGAGCCATCGATCCCCTCCATAAGTAGGAAGTAGATTGCAATGTAGAAATAGCCGGGTTGAAGTTAGAGTTTAGCGGCAGGATTGGAGTTGAAGGTGATGCGCAATTTCACATGTAAAGTCTCCTATAGCTATGGATCCAATTTCCCTTATTTCTTGATAAGTAAATAAACACTATCTACTCTTAGTGGCGTCAATTTTTTGTAGGGTCCTTCGATAGCCATAAGTAGGCCACCAAAGCTTATATATGCTTTTCTAAAGATACGTTAGTTGAGTTTCTATTTGTAGCCAGTAGATTCAATTATTATTCATAGTTATTTATGGGTATTCATGGTTCTGGTGTGGTCTTGAAATTTTCATCACTTTCGATATTTTGAAGTTGACTTACATTGTTATTCCGTCCTCTCCATCTTCAAATTTGTAAATCTTGCCGTGACAGACGTAATCGAATAGATCCGCCAAAGTTGGCTCTCCACCGAGTCCATTGCGCGCTACATCACGCCAGCCTCGACCATCATCTTTGGTGCCATCGAGTGATAGACTGGAGGCTAGCACGAGATGCATGCTGTCACCGATTCCAACGTTGAAAAGTTCAATGTTTATATCGAGCGTCATTACTGTTTGCGCATCTATTGAGGTACCACCAATACGAGCCACACGATCATATTTTGAGTGGTCAATTGAAGTGACGGTAAAAGTCTCGTCAAAAAGTTGTGTTTCAGTTGATGAGGTCATACTTGACTTGAATTTATATTGTGCGAATAGAAGAGATTAGAAGTAGAATTATTTTCTGGTCAGCAAGAGTATGATGGACACAAATCTGGGTGATAGTTCTTTGGGATGGACGTGAGAGGGATCAGGACAAGTTTTCAAGATGATGCAGAAGAGGGATACGTTTTCGACAGGCGTAAAAGTACGAATTATGGCATGGAGCTTTACGAATTGAGCTTTGTGCGCGCCAAGACTTCGCTTGCGAGAGTGCAGCTTTTTTTTTTTTTTTTGCATCAGATTTTAATTGCGTATGCAGCTATCTAGCTATGACACAATATCAAAGAAAAGTACAGAAAAGATGACTCAATTTACAAGAGGAGCACTCATGCCTCGGATTTCATTTGCAAGTACCACTGCGAAGTTATGGTGGCTTTTTCTTCACCCCAAGTCAACCCTCATCCGTGAATACCCACCCAGGGGAACGTCTCAAAAACCCTGAGTTATCCAGACATGCCTCCGTCATCCATCAACTTTTCTCCGCGCGAAATGTAATCTGAGATGTCTCCTTGCCAAGTGGAGTAGGTGCCCAGGCTACTCAAACCATACCAGAGAACATCACCAGGAGGCGGATCACAACACCTTCCATCGTTTGCTTGTTTTTACAGTGTCAGCTGCACTCTCGCAAGCGAAGTCTTGGCGCGCACAAAGCTGAATTCGTAAAACTCTTGCCAAAATTCGTGATTTCACGCCCTTCGAGGTAATATCCTTTCTCTGCATCATCTCGTAAACTTTTCCAGATTCCTCTCACGTCCATTCCAAAGAGCTATTTCCCAGATTTGTGCTCCACGATTTGCTTCCTCCGTCGGGTATAAATATCGGCGTGGGCGTGTATTTGGTGACCGGCTGAGGCCAGAGAAAGTCGACGAGAGGTGTGGTCATTGAAACGAGGATGTACTAGGTCGTACTTGTAGACTTGATGAAGCTTAGTTCAGAATCGGACTCTTTGGGAGTGAAAGATTGACATGGTGGAGTAATTTGAATTTTTGCCTCGTGGGCCAACTTCTTTGATATTGCGAAATTTGACTGAACTTGGCTCTGGGAGAATATTTCACTCCCAGGTTCGTAGAGGACACCGCGTACAGGTGTTCAGTCTTGTCCTCCGAGAGTGCAGCTGACACTATAAACACAAGCAAACGATGGAAGGTGTTGTGATCCGCTTCCTGGTGATGTTCTCTGGTATGGTTTGAGTAGCCTGGGCACCTACTCCACTTGGCAAGGAGACATTTCAGATTACATTTCGCGCGGAGAAAAGTTGATGGATGACGGAGGCATGTCTGGATAACTCAGGGTTTTTGAGACGTTCCCCTGGGTGGGTATTCACGGATGAGGGTTGACTTGGGGTGAAGAAAAAGCCACCATAACTTCGCAGTGGTACTTGCAAATGAAATCCGAGGCATGAGTGCTCCTCTTGTAAATTGAGTCATCTATTCTGTACCTTTCTTTGATATTGTGTCATAGCTAGATAGCTGCATACGCAATTAAAATCTGATGAAAAAAAAAAAAAAATTATGATGGATGACTATGCGTTGGAGGATTGAAAGTTGTTGACGTGCTCTTATTGCCTCTAGGCACAACATTAATCGGGTAAAAAAATATTCTAACTCTGTGCCAGTCCCTAGCATTAAATACTTAAAAATTAAAGCTTTTCTGATTTGGCGTCATGAGGACCCATGCAGGTATTCTAGGAAGATATATATTTCATGTAGAATAGTTAAATTGAAGTTTGGAACATTTACATTCTGACATCATTCGTAGATACCCCTAGGCGTTAAGCCTGAAGGCTTCAATCTCTCTCGTGAGTACCACAGGGAAAAGCGTGAAATCCCTTTGGTTATCTAAATGTGCTTTTGTCATCCTACTCATACGATGTCACCGCGAGAGAATGCGGTTTGAGGATCTTGCTAGATTGGAAGTAAATTTCTCCCGACTTGAGTTGAGCTGGTTTCCAAAAATAGCAGACGTTATTTGGGGGAAACCTTCGGATGGTGTACCACCGCACCATCCAACCGAGATTTTTTAATCATGATAGGAAGTAGGCAGGTGGAACGCTGATGATTCTGATGGCCTGAATTAAATACTGACTAATCAAGCTTTGTTATCCCGCCTGTGGTGGCGGAAGTTAGAATGGCTTAGTTCAGCCTGATATGATATTGCTTGGGTAATGGGGCCGATAACATTTCACAGCAACAGTCACATGGTTCTAGAGACACAAATTTATACTAACATTACTTGCCGCCAGTCAACTGAACCCAAGGATGGGTATCGACAAAACGATTGCAGAGTTTCCGAATGTGGAGAATAAGCTTCAAGCTCCAACTCGGAAATCCCTATTTGAACGCCAACGAGCAGACGCAGAGGCCAAAAGACAACGTGAGGAAGCCGAGACCCAGGCCGTCTACGAAGATTTTCTCAGAAGTTTCGATGATGATGATCAAGGTCCTGTCTATGACCGGGCTCCAGCGAGCGGAAAAGGTCCCTCAGGACTGAGTGACGCGACAAAAAAGCATGCCACTGGTGGATATGGGTTCGGGAACATGTCGAACCCAGCCCTCGCGAAAAACATTGGTGTAGAAAGAGGCCGGATTTCAAGTGGGCCGGGAAGTCTGGGGCCGCCTCCACCAAACTTAAGCCGGAAAAGACCGTTTGAAAATATTGGTTTTCAGCAAAAAGATCGCGATAAACCACTGTTGGCGTTCGATGACTTCGAATCTGATAACTGGACTGCAAAAAAATCTCTAAATCTCGATAATGATGAGAGTAGGAGAAATGAGCTAGAAGAGGAAAGAGCTGCTCCTAAACCCACTGTCCGTCTCTCTTCCATGCCTCCTGGAACCAGTCCAGCTCTTATTAAATCGTTGATTCCGACAAATCTAGTTGTAGACAACGTTAAGATCTTACCTCCAGCCGGTCCAGGCGCGTACTTGGAAAGAAAGTCTATGTCGGCAATTGTTACATTTGCAAAAGATACAGCTGCCAACGATGTTGATGCTGCAATCAATGGCTTACAAAATAGATACATGGGATACGGATACTATTTGAGTATTCACCGGCATCTATCTTCGGCAGCTCTATCGAGTGCTAACCCTATCCCCTCTCTATATAACTCGACGCCTACTTCTCAACCCTTTGGAGCAAAACCTGTTGATATTGCTGTCACGACGAGAAACCACATTCCTCCTGCTCATCAAGGAAGATTTGCTCCTCCGACCTCGTATGAAACCCCTGGCTCTGGACGCTCTGGGCCTTTGCTTCACGTCCCAGTGCAAGCCCCATCAGATATCAAAGATATAAAACTCATTCACAAGGTTGTTGAAAATATAATTACCTACGGACCTGAGTTTGAAGCACTTCTTATGAGTCGACCTGAAGTTCAAAGAGAAGAGAAATGGGCTTGGTTATGGGATGCTCGTTGTAGCCGTGCTGCCTGGTATCGTTGGAGATTGTGGGAAGTAATAACTGGTATCAAACCTCAACGCGGCCAAGGAAAATATTTTCCCCTTTTCGAGGGATTTTCAGCTTGGAAACAACCAAATTACCCACTGGCTTATGAACACACTATTCGTCTTGATGAATTTGTATCTGATTCCGAATATAACTCCTCTGATGAAGAAGACTCCGGAGATGAAGGACCTCGGCGCCCGAATCGTGGAGGCGCAGCCCCATCGGACCCAACTTCGTCCGAGGATGCGATAAGCTATCTTAATCCTCTTGAAAAGGCTAAGCTCACTCACTTACTCGCACGACTACCAACCACAACTGGAACATTAAGAAAGGGTGACGTCGCACGAGTAACAGCTTTTGCTATTTCTCATGCTGGCCGGGGTTCTGATGAGGTTGTTCATATGATAATATCCAACGTGGAAAGACCATTTTCCTACACATCTGCTAATCCGAATCGGAAAAAAGATAAGGAAAAGAATAACGGGAGTGACGAAGAAGAGGAATCTGATACGAGTGCAGCAAGTCTCATTGGTCTCTATCTTATAAGTGATATACTCTCATCTTCTTCAACTTCTGGTGTGCGTCATTCTTGGAAATACCGTCAACTATTTGAGGTAGCGCTTAAGCAGAGAAAAGTATTTGAAGGTCTTGGAAGGATGGAACGCAAAATGAACTGGGGACGGCTAAGAGCCGAAAAATGGAAAAGAAGTGTAGAAAATATACTAAAACTCTGGGAGGGATGGTGTGTGTTCCCTCAAGAAAGCCAGGAATCTTTTTCTAGCCTGTTTGATAAACCGCCCTTAACAACCCTGGAAAAGCTAGAAAAAGCCGAAAAAGAAAACAAAGAGAAAATTGGAGTGAAAGGGAAAGGTATCAACAAGTGGAAAGCAGTTGAAGCCAAGTCCGAGACAACGAAAGAAGGGGAAAATTTGGACGGCACAGCCATGGATATAGATCCTGAAGAAGGTTCAACAGAGGGTGATTTTGATGGGGAACCCATGTCTGACGATGACGACCTGGACGGAATCCCAATGGATGAAGGGAAATCTATTGTTGAGGGTCAGCAAAAGTCAGCCTCTGAGACACAAGACTCACATCAACTAACCTCCTCCAAACCGAGCGCGAAGGAAAAAGCGACATTTGTATCGAATTCACGGCTAAAACGGCCTAGGGCCGTAGATATGTTTGCCGATTCTGATGATGACGAATAATAAATCTTGGTTTAAAATAAAAAATAACATATTTTTTATGCTATTCAATAGATTCTAGTCATCTTAGGCAACTTATTCGCCTATCCTATGCATTGTAATACTCAAATGTTAGGGAAGAACCACGATTTACAGCTTAATCTCCGGAACCTGAAGGCCAAAGTCGCCCCTACTTGTGCCTAATTTACTAAGAATTAATATCCCTACAACTTTATAAACTCCATGGCTGTTTAAAACAGGAAATCTTGCATTGAACTGAGGTATCAAGCCTTCGAACTCCCTTTCCGCGACGGATATGGTATTTTACCGAATGCTTCGAGCCATCATTAATACGGGACGGAAGAGAAGAGCCAAAATGAGTTGGGCTATTTGTATTAAACCCAGGCCTTTTACATATCACGACTCACAAGAGAACTTACTGCCAGTGAGCCGATAATTTCGGAAATGACTAGCTCTATTGTCAGAAAGTTTTCATGCTTCCAAAAAAATATGAGAGCATTGTGATGCTCTGAAAATTTTTCCTGTGCCTTTTCAAATTTATTCTGACAATCTGACTGTAAATATTATGTCATAGAAAGCCTTCATATCTCTGGACAGACCTCTAACCGCCGTAACAACCAACTTCAGGTAGTAAATGATGTAATATTTCAGTTCTTTCTCCAACCTTGCCCATACGCGCAAGAATTTCTTTTAGTTAAAGTTGCTCTATCATAAAATAGTTGTTCAGAATGCTATATTGGCATACGGGCCTGTCTCTCGATCACTTATACATTTGCAGTCACTAACGGTATGACCCAATCTATAATGATAGTTGTGAGAATCGTAATTTATTGTCTATCAGCCGTAAGTTAATGTTATGTCTAAATAGAGAGAGTCAGCTTTGGTAGTGATTCCAGCTTTATTTTGATCCCTTGAAAATGCGACAAAAAGATACCGTCAGCTATCAAATGGTGATTTATTCAATGTTAGTTTTCTGGAGTATTGTTGTTACCGTATATTAGCTTTTACCTCTTTACATGGCTTCATGTTCATTCACTACTTAGGTCTGTGTCCTGAACACGGAAGGATTATAGCCTCAGCGCGTCCTTTGATCAATTGGTTGCGGACGAATAGATCCATAAGTAAACTGATGTCTCTTCTACCTTAGCTTAATCAATAATAAGTATGGATAAAACCGCTAACTATAGTGCTATTGGACTGATATAAAGAAACTGAGTTGTATCTGTAAAGTTCAATTATTTTTCCAAATGCCTCAAGTGAGGTGGCCCAGTAGGTCGCTGTTATATTTTTAGGTTATAACTAACCAACTCATGCTAGTTGTGTTCTGAGTGTATCTAAAGACGCTATGGTAATTATTACGGGACTCAAGGCTGGTTCAGCCAATCTTTCGACAATCTGGCACCAGACGGGTTTCGGAGAAGAGCTGTCCGGACATATCTATAAAGAGATGAATTCAGAAATTTAGTGAAATTTAGAGAAATTGGAAGTGGAGGTCAGATATTAGAGCAAGTAGAGCTTACAAAGACGTCACGCAATATCTCACAGATGTGTATTGTCGCTCATTCATAAATAGATTCCGGAATACTTCCGGCGGTTTGTAACAAGTCTCAAGGAACCTCCTATTCGCCTACGCCATGAAAAATAACATTCGTGATCAAATACCTGTCGGAACACTTCAAGTGGACGGGTTTGGTGACAAGCTTGTTGTAACAATATTGGTATCAATTAATTACTGTCTAACTCCCTCCCTCCTAAGTAATAACTAATAATTACGAGTGCAGGCGACACTATAAACACCGCCATGGTTGGATGGTGCGGTGGTACATCGTCTGGGCCGGTCTGCCAAGTAGAGTCTGGATAGTTTGGACACATATCCCACTCGAGACAGTAGATCGCTGGTTCAAATCCGGCAAAACACAACCACATTTCTCGCGGCGCTGGTATGCATGGATGACGAAGGCATGCTTGGATAACCAAAGGTTTTGAAATTCCCTTTGGTGGGTACTTACGGAGGAGGGTTGACTGTTTGTGTAAGCAAGCATACCTCATAGTGGTATTTGCGAATGAAATCCAGAGTATGAGTGTCTCTAATGTCAAAAGAGTCATCCAATATGTAAACATAGCACTGGTCATGTGTCATAGCTCTATAGCTGAATATACATTAAATGATTTAAAAAAAAAAAAAAAAAAAAAAAAAAAAAACTAATAATTACATTAGGGAGCCAATTTCTTATTCCCAGCGCTATTCTACATAAGGAAATGTTACGAAAACAAGTCACGTGATATAATACAGAACTATAATCAGACAATACCACTCTCGATCCACGCTCAAGTATAATGGAGAAAACTATCCAGTAGATCAGTTTGAGCTGTCAAGATCATCGATGTGCTGATGGCCCGACAGATCGAATAGAAACCCTGAAAATGTATCTCCTACAAAGAGTGCCAGATAGCAGGAGTCCACTCCTCTTTACCTACGAGCAAACGTAACCTATGTCTCGGGCAATACATCGCCTTCTCTGCCTCACTATATCTTCCATACAATAATCATGCACTACACGAGCCCTCATTCGATCGTGAGCTTGAAGTATTCCTATAGATATGGGCGATGGATAAATGAGTGAGGTTGGCCTAAAAAGGCCATCACTGGCTAGCAAAGTCTTTGTCCATGTCTAGATAACCTCACTAAGCCTTCTACCAATATACTCATTCAAAGGTGCGGCCAAGCTGATCCTACCCTCATCATGATGAGCTAGGATTTTTTAGCCATCATAGTCCCATCCAGCGATGTGTTTTGGGCGCTTGGCGAACAGTACTCTAAAGTATTTCTGTTACAACTGTAGAATTTCTCCAGAATTTCCAGGTATTTCTTGAATTAGAAGGATCAGTAGCCTCATGAATCCTAACTAGTATATTACGAGAACAAGTCAGTACTCGCCAATAAATTTCATCGGAGTGATAATTCATCCTTGGATGGCCATCTTCCACAGAGGGTATCAATTGTTGGTATCTGCTAGGTATGTGTTCTGCAATATCAGATACGTGTAGAATCCGGTATTTAGGAGACCAGGTTGTTTATGTTTCGACGGAATACTAGATTAATCCAAGTACCTACGGCCCGAGGGCTAACCACTCTCTAGTGCAAAATATATGGGGCGATGGTTAGCTACTGTTGATATATTGCTGTTAAGTCCTGTGTGTTATCGTACGTGAATTTCTAGGCGCAAATATAGCAATGAGTCCCGTCTACGACGTGTATTGAGTGACTTGTTTCGTTGGAAGCCTCAATGTAGACTGAACTTCCAAAAGTATCACCATCCATATTTGTTTGTGCTAAATTGAACACCCTTGTACGTAGTTAAAGCGTTAATCTAGACAGTTGCTTCACATCTGTTTATGCGTAATGGAATACATGTCCTTTTTAGCCTTCAAACAACCTATTTCCTTGGTCCGCCAGGATACTCATATTGCGTCAGGATGTCGATCAATTTCGGCAAAATGCATATTCTGACAATAGACTTGTTCTGTCTATCCTGTGCCATCTAGAGCAATAGGGTAGATAGTGGACACATCGATAAACAGTTCCCTTTTTCCTAGAGTGGGCTGGAAGATAATTAGTGAAGATGTTGAATGTTGTGAGCCCTGCAAACTGTAAAGCCTGGAGAGTCGCTTATATTTCGTCACTGTTCCATTTCTCAGTATGGACTGTATCATTTGATGTATGTTATCGGCCTCTGTCATTGCATCGACTAAATCCAATCACTTTTACCAACTTTCTTCAGAATTACTCATCGATAACCCCAGTAACTAAATGAGCTCAGAGTAGTTTTGCTACGAGTAGCGTAGATAATTTAGCTTTCCGCTCACCAATGTAGGCGTAATTTGATCTTTATCCTGTAGAACTTTTGGGAATAGCTAGATTTTAGTAGAGAACTTAATAAGGCACGACCCTCATCATCTATTTGCAAAAATTGAGCACAACAATATACAAATTTACTATTAACTTTAAAGCTATTTAGATAGTTTTAGCTGTCCTTCATAGTCATAGACTCAGTAGGGACATAAATAAAATTCTATTCTTTCCTATTAGTAGAGAAAGTTATTGATGGGCGTTGAGTCTCCGTTCCCCCCAAAATTGAGGTTATGTATTGAAGATCACCTGAATGGATAAGCGACTCCCTTGGAAGATTTACCAAAAAGATTTGGTATTCTGAGTCTTGCCGTAGTAGACGTTGCTGAAACAATAGACTCTTTTTCTAAAATCTTACTTTTAAGGTTAGAATAAGGATTATCCTTCCATCTTTTTTGTTTATAATTTCATATTTCTTTCCATGTTGCTTCGACAACATCATGGTTCTTGGCACTGGATATCATGTTTGTACTGTTCTGAAGCCCGCTTTATTGTGACGGGCTTTGCCCGGATTGGGACTGGTCACTAGGACAACTCCGTCTCCGAGGTAAGGTAGTGGCAGGGCAACGCTCCTGGATAGACGAAAAGGGCGCTTAGGGGGTACGCACCAGATGGGGTGTATGATACAGGAGAAGAGTTGTGCCGGGAGAAAGGATGGTTCTCAGGGGCCAATGGAGGGAGTTAAGACTAGTCTACACAGAGCATACAACGTATGGGATAGTACGTGGGAGATAGTCTTCCCCAGGAACAAGTTATTAATTCCTTTTGAGTTATTGTCTTTCAAGTACATCTGAATTTATTAAACCCTTACAGCTATAATGAGCTAGCAAAAATAAATCATGTACATTGAGGATGGCTCGTTCTATCATAGCAGAGTTCACTACGCTCAGTCTTCTATCATAACCAGCACCTTCAGTTACCTCTAATCTCACTCGAACCATTAGTGCCTTTAGTTATTACTATTACTCATAATCCAAACCTTTAGTTCCTCTAAGTGATCTCAAGTAGAACTTTAGTCACCTTTCGTAGTTCATTCACCCTCTTCTCAATCTTACTTGCATTACAGCCCTCACATCATCGCTCTATACAGACACTTTCGGAGATAGAATCTTCGGAGCTGACGGGGAACTTTGAGTATAGCCCGAGCTCATTCAAACCGTTAGAACCACTGATCAAATAGGATTGGATTGGATTGAACAGTGTTGGAAATATCGCGCGATGAAATGGGCACAATATTTATGGAACGAAATTAGAAGTTGACTAAAACAGCGACATGTTCGGATTAAAGCTAAAGGTGTGGGAAGTATGCGCAACAAGTACAAGAGTAAGCGAAACATAGCCCAAGCAACGGCATTTTATTATTAATTCATTTTATTGTCCTGTCTGAGTCTATGACTATGTAGGACATACAGGCCCTCTCTGCCTACAGGCCAAGGATACCTATACCAGTAGTATATCCCCTCCTATGCCTCCTATATAGCTCTCCTCAAACAGTACCACCCCTCACAAGTCCTCATTCGATCATACACTAAGAGGAGCCCTTAGCCCTTCATTATCTCCCCTCTCCAGCCAACGAAACGATGGCCATTTGCGGGTGTATGGCAGCCGGGAAAATTCGCAAAAACCACTGGGTGCGGGGCTCTTCCAATACCGACATTAGGAATAAATCCGAAGACATATTGCCCCTTCTGAAGCGTTCGAAGAGGCCGGCCAGCTGGGCGCTGCAGACTTGTGGGTACCTCGGGAAATTCACCCTCTATCTTTCTAGCCTCCTTCCAACTCCTTCCCGAAGGTCGTGCTGAAATGTCAGAAAAGTCTTGACAGAGCGTGATTGCTGTATGGTGGCTTAGCCTAATTTCTTTTGTACCGTCCGGGGCGCTGGGGAGTGCCGTTGACTCATCGACAATAGAAGCCCTCCCGGCTAATCAGCCGAAATCTTGGTCTTGGCGCCCACAAAAAGACCAGAGTTGAAAACTCCTCAAAAATATCGGTCCCAGCATGGTCTTCAGATACCTGTTCATCGTCTCGCTCCACATCTTAACCGCCTGTTCTTCCTCAAGTTGTTTGTCCCATTAGAGCAACAGTCCCACACATGCCAAGATCCAGGCTTTGTATTTTTCGACTTGATTTCCTCCTTACGGGTATAAATAACATCGTAAATATATAGTGAGAGATGGCTGGAGATAAATGGGGCAAGCTCCTGTATGCAATTGGAGTAACTTCTTTATTGGTCGTTGAGGCGAGATGATGCATGGTTAGAGATGGGTTGAGGACTCAGATGACAATGATGAGAGAGGCATTGCCGAGAATTCGTCAAATGAAGATGTGTTTGAGGTTGCTTTCGACCTCGATTCGGATGCAATTCTTCTTGGCTATCCCAGATATGCAGAGCATACTGAGCGATTACACCGGCACCACTGGAAGATGAAGAATTCGTCTTTGCCGGCAAGCAACGGCATAAACGAGTGTGGCGCCATCTAGGCATATAAACACCCAATAACCTCCTTGTTCCCTCGCCATACAGCCGCTCATGAATCCAATAGGTAGCCTAAAGCGCTACCATATTACCCATTCCAACTTCTTAAATACACACGAGATCGTGTCGGGAACCTAGACGAAATGGAGGGCCCGTACGTCCACAACATTCTGTGTCTCCATTTCCAACAAACAGTAATGCAAGAAAATGAACAAAACAAAAAAACACTAAAAAAAGTATAACATTATCTCTTGTTAGGCTTAGCCTATAAGCTCTTCCCCGTATCCGTTCTCGTCACGTCTCCAATATGACATAACATTACAACTGACGAGGAGAGCTAGGGATAAGCAGATATATTTGCTCCTTAGTTTATCATCTTTTGCGAGTTAAAGTATAACCGACAACCGTTTCGTAGAGAGATAGAACACATCTTAAACTTCATCAAGGTTGAGTCTCCCGAATCCAGAGCCCCCCCTATCGAAACATAAGTGAGGCAATCAAGGTGGTCTCAGGTTTTTTGATAACAGCCCTAGAATGTAATACGCCTACGTATTCGACTTCACCGGCTTATCAAAATATCACCAATTTTTATTTGATGACGGAACTAGTGTGCGCTTGTCAGGCCAGATAGTTTCAGCTATCTGAACAATGTGGAGCCCCAAAATTACGACATTTGTCTGGTACTTTGCACTCAGAAGTACATGATAGAGGTACATATTTCCTAGGTCATTTATTGTGAACAACCGCAAGTTTTTTTAAAGCCAAGGAGGCGTTTGCATTGCTGCGCAAGTCGACGTGGTTGATGCCAAGTAGCTAGATCTGACTTATCGAATATTTGAAAGTCGGATTTGGGTACTGGTATCCTAGGAAATGAAGCTGCACAACGCTGATGGGGCGGTCTAAGTCATGAGGGTTCGTGAAGATAGGCCAAGGAGATATTTCTGTTTGTAATCCTCGATATTTCTGTGATTATCATTTCTTCTGTAACAGCTCTAATAACGATATCGTTTTTCAAGGCCACTGGGAATATTGGAATCCAGAGTCCTAAAATATTTAAGGATTCAATTCTCACTTCGGAGACGAAAGTCTCCCAAATCTTATCTCCCGGTATGATGTTACATCTTCCCCTATATTTTACCCTGAAGGCTGTAAAGGCTGTCAAGACAAAGGATTCCTGTAGCCTTCGCTGGCTTGCGTAGGCAATAACACTAAAGGAATCCCCTGAGTAGATCTTGGATGGCAGGAAACTCAGAAAATTCTCGGTGAACCTTTTGGAAACATACTGGAGTTTCATGAGGGTGACAGGAGTATCAAAGATCTTCCAGGTAGTTGTCGAAGAGTCTGGGGTAGCCAAATCAGAGAGAAAAACCTCAGATTTCACATGAAGTTAGTCTTTAGCTTTAATTTTTCTCTGGAAAGAGAATTACAATTAACATACTATACCTACAAAGTCGCCTATGCATTTTTCAATGAAACTATGACAGAGGCGAAGCCTTTGGGGGCACTCTAAACGTTAGATATATCTTAGAATAGAAACCCGGAATCACAGATTAGTACTTTATAAACTCTAGCAGGAGTAGATTTTGTCTCTACCTATAATTTTGGTCTCATCGTACAACCAGACAGTCCTCTTGACATGTAGCCGCAGGCTTCATGTCAGTTAGCTTGACTGTTTTGGCTGGCTATAGAGGGAAAGAGCTATGGATGGCTGAGAATAACTTTTTGTTTTCTCTTCTGGTTCTTTTTTCACATCTTTGTAGACTTACGTGCTAGGCAATCGGTACCCTCTGTACTACTCGAACGCCATGTAGCCGAAAACCTACAAATTTACTCTGCCATTTCTGAATCTCGGCTCTTAAGAGAAATTCCGCCCCTAGATTTGCCGAGGAACAATGGACAAGTGTTAAGTCTGGATCAACCGCTTCGGAAGGGAACTCGGATGATATTGTGAACATCTTTTGGCTGAATAGTGCAGTGGTACATTACCCAGTTCAGTATCATAAGTAGAGTCTAGACACCTTGTAAACCTATTCCGCTTGGGATAGAAAATTGCTGGTTCGAATCTAGTATGGCTTGACCTTATTTCTAGCAGTACTTCCGCAGAGAAACGAAAAGATATGCTTGGAAAACCAAATGAATTGATACTTTCCTTCAGTAGATATTCACCAATAAGGATCGACTTTCTTATGTAAGCAAATATAACTCATAGTGGTATTTGCGAGTGAAATCCAGAGTATGAGCGTCTGTGGTCAAAATGGTTATTTAATATACCTGTAAAATAATTATTAAAAGTCAAAGCTAAGTAGCTTAATACACATAAGATGAATAAAAGATAGACTAGCCGTTGTGCGGCCACCAAAATTGGTCCAACTAGTGACTAACATTAAATATTCTCATTGCCTGATAATCTTAGCGAATCCTTTGTCCAATGTGCATCGACCATAAATCATTGAGGCTCTGGGGTAGTTTCATCGAATGCATTTGCACTCTGTACAAAAATCTTTTCACCTTTGTAAATTCTCAGTCAGGAGCTAGACATAGAGATTGAGTTGGAGTGAGGAGCTAGATTCATTGAGTTAGTAGTATAATTTCTCATTTCAAACTAACCTGACAGCAGAGCTAGCGTTTGGGTACTATAGGGAACAAAGATTGACTACAATCAGGAACAAACTAGCAAAAGAGCTATTAATATCGAACTAGCAAGATTGTTCTCCTGTTATAAATGTTCCAGAAAGTCTGAAGTTCGCACGAAGGGTCCCGACATAAACACCTTCGCCAAAAATTTCTGATCCCGTACAAATCCAGTTTTTAACCTACGCCCTAGAGAAATAATTAAGACATAACTTCGTTACATGTTATCAAGTATTAGTTGGTTATCGTTAGGTTTCTTGACTTTTGGCTTCCTCCTCTTGTACGCTTTCTCTCCGCTTTCACTGAAGCTTGTACCGATCCCAGAGTCAGTATAGGCTCTCTCCTTGACACCAATGAACGTCGCATCGTCCTCTTCATTTTCTTCTGCCTTTATATAAGAGCTAGGACCTAAAGAGTCTTTATCAATTTCATTCTTTACCTTTGGTTGAACTTTGTGACTTTTTGCGCCATGTCTATGAAATGATTGAGTGTCAGAGAAATCTTGCTCATCTTCGGTTATAGCCTCATCGGTGTTTAAAGCACTGATATTAGGTTCCGAATTCACCTTAATTTCAGGTACAAGATCTTCAGAATCCAAGTAGTTGTTACTGAGAGAGGCCCATGCTAATGCTGTGAAGAATACTGTCACTATCCAGAATAGGCCGGTGAAAAATAAAAAACTGATAATACGATGATTATACATTAACCACCGCAAGCCCCTAAATTGGGCCTTAAATTGGATAAAAACTTCGTAAATCTGAATATCTTGTCCGGCCTCTACCTCAATCAATGCATAACCTGGTATGTGTTTTTTGCCCCTCAAGAATGAAATATTTTCACCCATCAGAACAAGCAAATTCTCTGATTCAGTGCGCAAACCAAGTGTATACAGTGGCAAGGCGAAGAAACGTGATGCGAGAGATATCAGTCGCGACTTGTAAGTTAGAAGTACTGGGCGTCGAGAGACAAATATAATATTCTCATCCTTAAATGAAACGAGAGGCGAGATTTGCTCGAATATACCTGGCTTCTCACTGTATGAGGCGAGTTTTTGCATTGGTGGCAGTAAGGCAAGGGTAAGCATAAAGTTACCCATTTTCAGATTTGGCGGGGAGTGTGGCAACCTTAGAGTGAGTGATACATCATAGGGTTGTCGCGATACTAGATTGTCTAGTGGAACTAGACCGTATGGGTGGGGCCCATCACTGTTTCAGCCTCAGTATTTTGCCATTTCAACCTCTGACACTGGGAAAGGAAGCGCACCCGTATTGTAAATGGACGATCCTCTGAACCCCAATTTGCGGTACATAGCTGTAATAGAAAAGTGCATATGCAAAGGCAGCCACTCCAAGTAAGATAGAGATAGCACTGGAGAAGAGCACCGAATTTAAGTAAAGCTGCTGGGATGATCTAAATGCAAGTTTATGGGCAGGCTTTATGAGTTCCTGTGCGATTAATTCGTTAGCTGGGGTGCCTAAATAATTATAAGCAAATTAGAAATATTACCATAGTTTCTCTTGTCATGGTTGCTGGGAGCCGCAATAATTCAAAATCAGCAAGCGATACATGAAACTAATAGATTTTATTGAGTCAATTTATTATAGGGCCGAAGTTGCTTGGAGCTTTTTGTAATTTGGCTCATACACATAGGTTGGTACATGACGTCGAACAGACTTGCAATTCATGTCCTGATAATACTCACGTGCAATTCAGTATTCACCGGGATGCTGAGTTCATTGTCAGATTGATAGTTTATCACCTGACACGACACCTGCATTTGGGACACTAGGAAAATAGCCGCCGCGCCCCTAAGGACGGAAGTTGGTGTAGGACATTTCGATTGACTCCTGCTTTTGTTTTGGATATAGTGCATACGTCTGCATTAAACATAGTGTAAGTCTTTCGTTACAAGAATTCGGGTGGGCCTATTAGCGACAGGGGTTGCAATTTCTATTCCTAGTAAAATGGGAGTCATCAAAATTATTTGATATACAGTCGACGTTCCTAACGCCACATTTGCCTATTACATCCTCTTGATTCACGGGTCAGACAGACCTGTGCACATTCTCAGTATCTCTCCCTACATTGTGGTCATAAATCAACTAAACTTGGCACAAGGAAAAGCGCCACTTCATCGCTGAACGTTTCTCGGGTTTATTCCCTAGTGAACCCTTCCGAACAAATTATAATGAAAGTAATCGACGCTAGAGATGACATGCACAGTTCCTTGCTTTAATTGCTGAGTGAATAGAGGCAGGCCGTCTATGGTCTGCTTGATAAAGAAAGCTCGTCCCACGGATAAATCGAGACATGAGAATTGATATGGGTGAAGGAAGACTGTGGAGACTTTGATGGCAGAGAGGCAGGTTAGTATCGTGGCCTAGCTTTTTATAGATTCCAAGTGTGCCTCAGCGGCTAAATTTTTATGATACGTCCTTCAAAGTGCTGTTTCCAATGTTGAGGTGATGAACTCACATCCAAGATAATTGCCGCCTGTATTTGGAAACCTGGTCAGCGCCTAGCGGGCTAGGGGCCAGATAAAAGCATGATAAGCCGTCTACCTTTGTCTCCCGTGTTAATTCTAAGCAATGAGATTGCTCATTGCTCACTGTTCGCGAGATCGGAGGTCGCTAGATAAGCTCAAATAGACACTATCAATTATTGGGCGACCCTAATAGAAACGCCAACATAGAAATGGTAGGGTAACCCAAGAGTCTTGCGTTTGAAGCAGAGATACAAGTTCCTGCAGGTAATCCCAAGCCATGGAGTTCACAGCTGTCACTCATTGTATGGAATAGCCATAAATACATCGGTCATTCCTTGCATCGAGCAAACACAGAGGAAGTTCCTCCAGTTTCAGAACGTATTTTGAGTACCTCATGGGTTTACATCTTCAGTTTAGCCTATTATTCACTCTGATGAATAGGTTAGAAAATAAAAGTGGTAGGCTTAGTCGGAAAATGTCAAGCCGGTGACAAAGATCCGACCCTTGTCCTCGGTTTTCTCAGTCAGAAAAGCTCTCGTTTGCAGTTGTCCTACGTCTGGATTGAATTATACATCTTTCATATCTGATCATGGCGAACTACCGCTTCTTCAAGATCTATACTACTACTTCGGACGACAAGAATTAAATACCTATCAGCGGTATCCACTACGAATCTGAGGGTCATATTTTGGCAGTATGAATTGTTCTATGTATTTGCGGTATTCAGGTTGTTGTTAGGACACTGACAGGGATCTGACTCGGCTCATTAGCGAGGCGCTTGGAGTAGAGAAAGAAAGGGGAGACAACCTTTTATGTATTTCGAAATACCAGTCAATTGACATTATTCACTGACTTCATGCCGGAAAACTGACTTCGTGACGGCACCCAATTTGTATTACTTCGTGTTTTACCAACATTATCAAGTTTAATAATTTTGTTTCCAACCAAAGCACTATTAAGTTTACAAGTACAGCCTAGTATATCCTTACTTCAATGATCACTCCTCTCGTAAAGCCATTTTCTGGCCCCAGCTGGTCACCGAATACAAGCCTACCCTGATATCTGTGTATGAAGGAGTTGTCAAGAGATGGAGTGGATTGCAGTGCGCGTCCTGAATACCAATATCACTAGGCCCTTATTGTACATGTATATCTGTATGTAAAGGTCTGTTGTGATATGTATGGTGTTCTCTTTATCTAATAGCTACTACTCTACAGGGTTGAAGTGTGCTATAGTTATTCCGAACCTTACACGAGGGTGTTATGATTCCAATCTCCTGGATCCACAGCGGTATCGTATGGTCATGTGCTATCACGTGTCTGATGCGCGATGCGCGATTCACAATGTATATATATTTATAAGTAGCCCGGTGGACCCTTTTTAAGAAAATTTATAAGTCATACTGGCTAAAGACCAATGCAGTGCTATCCCTCTTCGCTCGGCTGCCTACCTTGCCACAGCTCTTGCTTGTGACATCCAGGCAAAATGGATGGAAAAGAAAGTAGCTGGTATAGTGACTGTTGATGTCCAAGGGGCATTTGATGGTATCTAGAAAGGACGACACTGCCATTGACTTCGAAGCCAAGGATGGCCATTGAACGTGGTTCGCTGGGTAGCATCTTTCATGGAAGAGCGGGGATCCACCATCTCCATCGAAGATACTACATCACTGCCCTTCCAAACTCACTATGATCTCCTACAAGGTTCACCTGTATCTCCAATTCTATTACTTCTGGCTATGGAAGAGGCACTACGTCTCTCTACTGGTCGCCTTGGATATTCAGATGATATTGCCCTCTTTGCGTCTGGGTCCTCCCTTGTCGAATTTGCACGCAAAATCCAGGAGAAATTAGACAGCACCATAGCATGTGGACTGACTAACGGAATTAGTTGCGAACTTCCTAAGACTAAGCTCCAATACTTTCACTCGGAGCGAGGCTCACTACTAGAGCCTACTCTAAATATTGGAGAGACAGCTATAACGCCAAATGATCACACTCACTAGCTTGGAATATTCTTCGACCAGGCTCTACGGTTCCAATTTCATACCCTACAGGCTTGCCAAGAATCTCTAGCTATCACCAGCCATTTGAAAAGACTCTCGACGACAACTCGAGGGATTAGCCCTCTCTTTCTACGACAAGCTCTACAAGGTGCCGCATTTGCGACCTTCTTCAATGGGGCCGAGACCTGGTACTCTAAAAAGACTTCTCAAAAGATCATCTCGCAAGTCCAACACAGGATGAAAGACGCTGCTCGGGCAGCTCTTCCAGTCTACCGTACCACACCAATAGCAGCACTTCTACGTGAAGCTGGCTGGGGCCCAGCTCATACGTGGCCCTCTCGAATTCACAGTCTGTTGGAAATATCGCGCAAGGAAATGGGCACAATATTTATGGAACGAAATTAGAAGTTGACTAAAACAGTGACATCTTCGGATTACAGCTAAAAGTGTGGGAAGTATGCGCTACAAGTACAAGTGTAAGCGAAACATAGCCTAAGCAACGGCATAAACGAGTGTGGCGCCATCTAGGCATATAAACACCCAATAACCTCCTTGTTCCCTCGCCATACAGCCGCTCATGAATCCAATAGGTAGCCTGAAGCGCTACCATATTACCCATTCCAACCTCTTAAATACACACAAGATCGTGTCGGGAACCTAGACGAAATGGAGGGCCCTTAGGTCCACAACATTCTGTGTCTCGATTTCCAACAGAGTCATCTAGCAATTCGAATTGCGGCAGTAGAACCATACCACCCTCTTCGTAGGCGGTGGGATACTAGTCGCATGCGCTGGATCCGCCAGAGGATCCCGTTAGAACTTTCCGATGACACCATACCCCCACTAAGGTCCGTTACCCGTGAGGAAAATCTAATCCAAATTGGGGCAGTAGGTAGACTCTCGGGATCAAATTCCTTCAAACAATGGCAGGCTAAACAACCAATTCTAGACCTATTCGTATTTTCGGGTGGCGCTCTCATAGAAGACCGAGCAGGTGCGGGTTATGTCATTTACAGAGGCCCTACGCAGGAGATAGGGTGAGGATCACTACTGCTCGGAAACTCGGCGGAAGCTTATGATGTAGAAATTGCCGGGGACACGGAAGGTCTTGCCGCAGCTATTTGCAACACACTGGCCTATTTTGCCTCAAGCATTACTGGCTGCCTCGACAACTAGGAGGCTGCCATCCGTCTGCTCTTGGATACGCCCACAGCGTCTAGCTCGGCAAAAATCTTTAACCTCCGCAAGCTCGCAGTGAACTAGAGAATGAGGTCACGCGGCCAAAATACGTCGCCTGGAGAAGTAGCTGTTCGATTGTGCCCAGGCCACGCAGGTATTCTTGGAAACGAGGTTTCCGACGCTCTCGCTAAAGCCGCCTGTGCGGGTCCACCTCCACACTCAGAGCTCTCTATTGCGAGGGCAAGAAGAGAAGTCAAAGCTCAATATGAGGCTTCCGTAATACTCTATTGGGCAGAAAATGCACCTTTTAGATATAAAGAATTAGGTATTGGCCCTAATACTAAAATCACTATTGAGCTTATCCGTCTGGGGCGACGCGCATTAGGATATCTACTAGCTGCACGGTCCGGTCACGACGACTTCGCGGACTACCACCGACGGTTTCAGCATGAAAACGCGATTCTAACCTGCATATGCGGAGAAGACAAGTCCCCCAACCACTTTTTCCATTGCCACTGAGGGCAATACCAGGCTCAGCTACACAGGGCACAGAATTCTAATCCCAGCGTATCTTGGGCTCTTGCTTCGGCGGAGGGAGTTAATGCATTCATTATCTGAGCGCGTGTCACAAATTTCTTCGAAAGGGCACAACGACAAGTCTGATTTGAATGAAATCACGATCTGATGTAAACAATTTCTTCCTTTTTTTTTGTAAAATCTTTTCTAGATTTAGTACCAGCTGTATGGCATGAGATTTGTTGGACGAACAACCTCCATGTATACTACAATCTTCGAGCACAGGATGATAAGATTCTGGCTATCACTTGCTTTGTTGGGTCTATGTAGGCGCCAACACTTCGGGTAGTTTAATTTAGACTGGGCTAATCGGTACGTGAGAAGCTCACGTGCTGCGCGCGGGCACGACGTTAAATATTATAAGTAAGTAAATAAATTACCTTCGGCAGATGGCGATCTCCAGTATCCTTAGCGCACGCCATAACGGTCATAGAATTAGTAGGGACATTAATGATATTACAGCACCCAAGTACACTCGATTAGTAGATTGACGCAGTCGACTTGGGGTGCAACATTCAACAAGTCAAAACTTTTGTACAGCACGATTGTGAGACCAGCACTGACTTACGGTTGTTCACTATGGGCTGCAGCTGGGCCAACGGGTAGAATACAAGAAAAGATAGTCAAACCATTGCGAAATTAATCAAAGAAAATACTTGAAGCTAGTTACAGGGGCATATAATTTCACCAGCAGTAGAGCTCTAGATCACGAATACTCAATCCTTCCACAAGACATCTATCTCAAACAAATGAGAGTTCAACACATCGGACTTTCGGAAAGACAACCTATCAAGCAGACGATGCTATTGGTATGTAGTAAAATAGGCTTATAGCCTGAACGAAAATAGCCACGCCAAGAATCGAAGTCGAGATAGTAACGAGTGGACCAAAATCTGCAGGAACGAAAAGGTGAGGCGCAGACAAAAAGAAGCGGGTAAGATAGCAGCATTCCAGAAGTGGGAAAGTGCATGGAAAACTTTTAAGGAAGAGCTATTATCTTCTCATCAGGCGTCGGCAGGCCCAGAACATTGGAAAGTAGCAAGTATTATCACCGACAAGAGAACAGGCAGAAAAAGAATCACCTACAGAAACACACCCTCTTACATCCACCGAAACCTAAGCAGGGCCCAAAGTAGTATTCCAATATCGGTGAGAAGTGAGCATATTGGCCTCAACTCTTATCTATAAAGAAAAAAGGTCCCTGGAGTGGCAAATTCAAATTGCCCGTGTGGATATTCGTCACAAAACGTGAAATATATGGTCATGGCTTGTCCTCATTGGGCTAAGGGAAGAGGTGTGGTGTTGCAACAGGCAAAATATAGGTCTTTTGAAACTATTATGAGCAGCCCAGATGACATGAAGGGAATTATAGAGCGGATACTTAGTAACGGCTGGCTTGAATAGTTCCGGCTTGCAGAAGAAGTTGAGGCAGCAGTCAGTGAAAGAATAGAGCGATGGGGAAAAGGATAGGACGGTATTAACACTGGACGTACAGTGTAAACGCACTTTCTGTAGGACACCTCAGAAAACCAATAGATACGAGACAGAGAGTTTTGTGGGTTTTTGATCGAGTTGGTTTCCTCCTTGCGCGTATAAATAGTGTCGTAAATATGTAGTGGGAGATGGCCAGTAATTAATGGGGTAAGCTCCCGCAAGCAATTGGAGCAATTCCCTTATCGGTAGTTGAGGAGAGATGATGTATGGTTAGAGATAGGTTGAGGACTCAGATGAGTATGGTAAGAGGCATTGTCGAGAAGTCGTCAAATGGAGATGTGCTTGAGGTTTCTTTCCACTTCGATTCGGATGCGATTCTTCTTGGCTATCCCAGATATGCAGAGCATACTGAGCGATTACACCGGCACCACTGGAAGGTGAAGAATTCGTCTTTGCCGGCACTCCTCTTAGCTATTGAAGTGTACCCTCGTTAATCTAGAAGAGGCTGCCTCTTTGTGAGCCATAGGCTTGGAAATATATCGTAAGCGGCCTCCCCTCGTGTATACTAGTCACTAGCATGAGGGCTTAACTCGTCGCACATCGAGCTCGTTCGGATTATGTTTGGATTAGCTTGTAGTTGGCAATTCCTAACCTAAATGCGTTAAATTGCAGGCTTCTATCTTAGGTATTCATGGGTTCGTAATTAAGCTTATTAAGGTTTAGCTTCGATTATCTCACTGATTACCGAGCCGGCAGTATATCAAGGAGGCATGTAGCTCAGGTGGAAGTATCGCACGGTAAACTATATCTGAAGCTGCTAAGTATTGTAGTAGCTAAAAGAATGCTGCTATTTGGAAACTACAGCTCCATCCCAGAACCATGAGATAAATCAGGCTATGCACGCTAGATATGGAATGGCTAGCGGATATGGTGAATATGGGGGTAAATACGTAGATATATAAAGACATTGTAGCCTCTAAGTTTGAGAACAAGTCTTCAACCAAATTATATCGGAATTAATCCTAGCCTCTCATAAAGCAATCTCATGAATCTATTTCCGTGTCTGTGATAACAGACAAATAAACAAAGTCGACGATCAAGTTCAAAGTCGATTAGATTAAGTTGAGTCCGAGACCAGGAATTTGGTGTCATTTTTCTTATCCATTTACATCCTATGTGAGTCTTGAATTTGATGTCATGGCCATCTTCATGTAACCAGTTCGCCACTTGTGGGTTTCTACGATCACCCGGGACAAACTTGTCAAGGACCTTTCATTTGTACAGACTCTTCCCAAGGAATTGATATGAATCTATTTGTTTTGCTTCTTATCTATTCTAACGGTCTATGTACATTAGTCATGAAATGAAATATTTAAGCGATGCTTGCGTTCCTCCCACCAGTTCGTTGCGATGGCTAAATTTCAGACTGTAGCGTCCTGAATTGATATCCTTTCTGACCAAAATTTCCGTCTAGTATGCCCCTGACTGTCTATCCCAAAGTCCTATCATTTCGCACATCAATTTTCACCCGACCCGACCGTCTAGTTTTACAAAAGAAACCAATAACCAGAATAATTCCCTCATTAAAAGCTATGTGGGGTTACCGAAATATCGTCAAAAGTTCGTCTTGCGTACTTGAGAACTTGCAAACTATCTATAGAAATTTCTGAGAGTCGTCATTAGTATCATATCATTTCTCTATCTTCCCACACTATCCAAAGTCAACGATATTCTGTTGTGTTTGTGATATAGACCCAGCGTATCTTACCTCTTAGCTTCGCTAGAAAATACTGGAACAATTGCTATAGCGAAATAACCCCTCAATAATTTTGCAGATAATTACTGGGGACGAGGCCAGGCCTTTCATTTTTTCCTGCGACCTCAGCTTCCCACCATCCATCATCCTGGTAGCGAAGTATCGCAAGGACGTCGCCTTTGGCGAAGCTAAGTTCTTCGGGTATTACGGCTTGATACATATAAAGCGCACGAGCTGGTCGTATTATTAAGCTTTCATTTTTTAAGCTGGAGATATCTAAACTTACCAAAGTGAAGAATTGGTCTGCCCTGGCTATTGTACTGTCTAATATCCGCAACACTCTTGCTTCTTTGTCGCGTTGTGAGTTGCTGCTGATTTCCTCTGTTTCCATATTGGCTAGTTGGCCGAGGACTCATGCTTCCATTGGCTCTATGGCTCCGCCCTGGATGAGAAACTATATTTCTCTCCGAGGTAGGAGCGAGTTGCATCTGCATAGATGAGTCTCGATTCACTTGCCGGCTCGATGGTCTCTCAGAATCACGCAGTGGTGCTGATGAAGTCACTCTCATGCTGTTTGATGAGTTCTGTATGTAGTGGTTTTGGTCTGATGCCCGTCCTCGCTGAGGCGTTATAGTCTGAGAGCGAAGCTGTGGGCTCCCGTTGTGGGGATTAGGAGATGCCGAGCGGTAATTCTGTCGCGTTTCCACTTGCAATTCTGGACGAGGCGTGGAGCCACGTGGAGTAGGTGATACGGCCCTTGGTATTTCCTTACCGCGGGTTGTTGGCCGAGACTGATTGCTAGGTTCAAATCCAGCCCGTGACTCTGCTCGGCCTGAGGGTTTGAACATATTGTGGGTTTGTACGACATATTTTTGCTTGGTTTGCTGCATTGCCTTCGATGTGAAAGCTGGTTCGGGAAGACCAAGCCTTTGCACGGGCATATCATATGATGGAGGAGGCGTTCCGCGCAGTCCTGAAATTAGAGCTCCGTTGGCCACCTGAGGTGCATAAGGTCTAGATGGAGTAGAACCGGGTGCAGGTGTTGCAATCCCGTGATACTTGTCAGCGGATACTCGGGTTGCTGATCCTTTAGTGACCCCTTTAAGCTCGGCGAGAGCTTGGGCAATTGGATCGAAATTGTCTTGTGAGACCTCAGTATTTGGTGTGTTCTTGCTCATTCTATTAGAGGTTTCAATATCAAATACGTTATTACCTACGTTGAGCTGATAATTCGTCAAATTATCAGTTGGCTCTAGATTGCCGTTCGAACGATCAGGAGAGAGATTTTGTGGGCTTTTACCATAACCTTGGAGGCGACTATTACTGCTATTGGGAGTGCTGGGCGTTGATGAGGCCCACGTATTCTTATTTGGGGTTGTGGTACGGGATCTGTCTTTATCCTTGTTGCTCCGACGTCGAAAGGGGCCATGGTTTTGGAAGAAGCCGCTCTTTCTCTTGAAGGCTTGTCCTTCGACTTGAGGGCTCGCCTGCTTAGTTGGTGACGCATTATTGCTAGCGACTTCGTGACTTGAATATGATGTTAGATCGCTCTGGGAATTACGGCTAGATGATCTCGCGCTGGGACTTTGGGCTGGGCTTTGAGCTGACGACAGTCCTGTTCTGCTTAATGAGGTACTGTCTTCCCGGGTATAAGGATCACGAGGGCTTATCATGGCATCTGAGTGAGAGTTCTGACTCTGTTGGTATAGAGACACCCGTCTGGGTGTTAAGCTTTCAGATTGGAGACTCGTCTGAGATTGTCTCATTGATCGGGGAGAATCGTATCCAAGTTGTTGTTGTTCTCGTGGTGGTCGGACTTGGTGATTCGCTGGAGATTCATTAGTTTCCTGTAGATCTTCTACTCGTGGTTGTCTTGACCTAGATTTTTGAGGAGTGACATTTGTTTCTTGGTTGACAGGTGAGATAGGGTCGTGACCGGACCCCATGGATAAAGCAAGTTGAGAATCGTGATGAGATTCATATGTTGATGGCTGGGGTGATGAGCTTCTGTATGCAGGATTGATCGTTCTTTGAAATTGTGCGAGGCAGTAATTTTCAGTATCAGATACTTCTGATTGAGTGTCGCTGACATCGCCTCTACAGAAGTTTATATACCTTGGGGGATCTGGAATTTCCTGCCCTGTCCCGGACTCTTTGATGAATGAAGCGATATCCTTCTCTACTTCACATTTTTCTAGCGATAATCGGATTTTTTCACATGAAGCGTCATCACTGACGCAAACAGTTGAAGCTATATTTGCAAAACTCCAAAGGCTACTTTTAGTAAAGTCGAGTCTCTCCTCTTCGAGATCTTGAAACTTATCAGCGGCGGCTTTCCAATCTCTATTCCACCTTCCAGTAGTATCCTCGAGTACCTTGACAGCATTCTCGTACTCGGTGTTGGATGCGGCCAAGTGAATTTGCGTTTTCTCCAATTTCGCTTTATTTCTTCGTTCTTCTTGCCCCATTACCATATGGCCCTGAGCTAGGTACCCTTTGATCTTTAGACACTCTTGTTCGTACCTATCTCGAGTCTGGTATATTTCGTCAATAGGGCTCTCAATACAAATCGGCAGAGATTGGTTTCTATACCGTACCTTATTTACATGATTTGTCTGCTGAAGTTTTGCTTTGTGTAGTTTCTCAATACCACTTTGAACAATTTTTCGTCGTTCCTTCAAAGCCCCTGAAAACGCTGCTAAAGGCTCTTCTAGTTCAGTCTTCATTTGACTTGCAATATTTTGATGCGATTTTCCCATTTGTTCTATTTCTCCGCGAAGGACATCCATGGATGCCCTGAGTGTTCCGGTTTCTTGTGAGCCCAGAGATTTCCGGGATAGTGATAACAGTTTACGGGAGTATTCTTCTTCTATTGCAGAGCGTGCTACCTTTTTGTTAGTCATTATAGTGTATTTTCAGCCAACTGAGGCCTGGGTGCACCGCACCAGAGTAGAAAGACTTTAATTCGTCGCAAGTCTGCTTAGCATTGTGCATACGTTGGAGTAAAGGCTCGACTCCTGCGTCATCTTTTCCCCAAAAATTATTGGCAAAGCTCATAACTACTGCCGGCCCATCTAATGTTGTTCCTGGCATTCTTTCCCCTGACCAAGAGACTTTCGAAGAATGCCGATTATATTTTTCGGCCTTATTTCAAGGCGTAAATGATTAGATTAAAATAATGTTATGAACGGGATAGAATGTCGTACTTAGCCTGGTGCATCATAGGAACGTTATTGTGGCATGACTAATATGTTGACTATTACAAGATGTCCTGAGCGCTGACCAGACAACCAAGTCCCCTTAGCACCTAATTTAGATAAGGTGTATCACATGATGGAGTTCGTGGAAGCAGGGGTATCTCCCACAAGCAATCATAAATTGGCACTGAACCTGGGCAAATGTCCAGGAGGGATTTACGAGTATTTGTTTTGATTTCAAAAATCAATTACCAGACGCTGAAGCAGAGTTCTGTTCATGTTACAGATTGATAATCCCTACTCTCCCTTGAGGTAGATGTACTTAATGGTAGTTAACCTGATGCAGCCCGGCCCCACCCGTGCTTAAGCTCCAGTAGAAGTGCAACGGTAGCTACTTTACCAACACGGTAAAGAACCAACCAAACCGAACCTACTCTCCCACGAATCTCTCTCTATGTAGGAGCAGTCACCTGCGCGCACAGGATGCCACAGTCTCGTTGGGCTTAGTGGACAACTAGCGATGGGACTAAAGTGCTGCAGCCCACAACCACTTAATTAAAATAAACCGAGAAAAATGTGAAGTAGAAAATTGAAGTTCTACATTCCACGTAAAAATCATTATGTTGTAGTTGGCGTGATAAGTGGACGTCCTATACGACGCATTAGATCAGGTTCACGAGATTTTTATACATAGTGTTAACTTTAGATGCGTTAAACGCAAATAGATATTGGTATTGCTGGCTAAGAAACCTCTAAAGATCTTTCCGTAGACGTAACAAATGCAGAGAGACAAGTATTCCTAAATTCTATTGCTCTTGCTAGTAGCCGAAGCACTTGAGTAAATTTACAGACAGCTTTTTAGGTCAACTATGATGTCGTTTGATTCTTGAGTAGCTGCAGGGGCTTGTATGACCGATAAAGCACTATATTGCCGTCGTTTGTTGCGAGCTAGTAACGACTCTAGTATTAGTATATCACCATCTACAAGTTCCTACTTTTATAAATCAACTTTTCATAATATTTGTTAACTTCCACCCGCGTAGGAAAGCACGCAGAGCAAGTGAAAGCGAACCAGATCAGTGATGAATTACATACCTCCGATAGGTACATTCATCTGTATACCACTCCTAAAAGAGACTATACACGGAGCTATCTGGAATTATGTGGGTTTAGTTAATTATCGTATAAATAATCTGTATCTTGGAACCATATATTCGAGCAACCCAATCAGCATATTTTCAAGTAAGATTTAGGATTGGAAGTATTCTTACTCATCTTAAAACAATTTGAAAAGCGAAAGCTAATTTTTTAATTTCTGTAAGACAGGGAAGCAGATATGTCACCACCTATTGAATAGGTGTCCCTAATGTAAAGCTCGGAGAAGGAATGATCACTCAGATGTTGTGCCCCGAAGCCTCAGTTTGTTATTTATTACCCAGGGCGGCATAGAAAAGCCGCTAAATTTTACTAAATCAAGTATTTGCATAAATTTATCAAAAATAAGGGACAGGTAAACTTTATGTGGGAAAACCAGTGAGGTTGACACGTTAGGTAATGATTCAAGATACTCCACCACATCAATTGTGTGTGTGTGTGTTTTTATTGTACTACTTGAGTCAATGACTATCTATCACATTGGGCTCCTCTCTGACCCAGGCCACACCTTGTACAGTGCTCCTATCCACTTTTGTTACTTGAAAGATCATTGATATATTCCCCTTGATGAATAGCCATTCAGCTCAGTGTTTACCCGCGGAATTCGGTCACCTTTTCCACGGAACCTTCTACCCAAAAATAAAAAATAAAAAAGTAGCAATGGAAACTGCGTGCGCGGGAAAAAGTCTCAAAAAACCTGCAGCCCCAGCCAGGCGAGGCCTAGACACCAGGACCACATGAGGTGCACATATTCATCTATATCTCCCTTCTTTGTAACATTCGAGGTCGACTTGATCCAATCTACCATCTCCGTATCGGGTGCTGGGTACGCTCCGGAAACTCATCGGATGGCTTCTCCATGATCAAGGGTGGGTGATGACTAGGGCTCTGACCCTACCATCTGATCTGATCGTGGTTAGCTTCATGATGGTGGTGATAGGGGAATGTGTTAAGACACAAAGACACAAAGACGATACAGACCGCGAAAGCGATTGGGAATCCTCGTCGGAGTGAGGACTTTGTTACTCAATCTCGGCTCTACAGACTCTACAGTGAGAGCTGGAGGCTTGTAGGGGACACCGCTGACAGGTGTTGAGAATAGTCCCCCCACCACATCAATTTCCTGCCTCTAAAGAGATCGATTCCTACGTGAGCCTCACAGAGTCTGCAAGTATGACCAATTATATCCTCATTTCAATGACCACAACTCTAATCGACTATTCTTTGGCCTCAGCCGGCCACAGAAATGTCGGGTTACGTAATTTGGTTATGTTATGAGAACTAGTAGCGCGGTGGCTGTCACAGTTCGAGGTATAGATGCTGGGGCGATCAAATATACGAAGGTTGTTTATTATTTTTTATACCACGATATTTGTGTCCTAACTCAACTATTTATACACTTATTAGGCTATCTAGAATATTCCTTCCTGTCTGATACTAGCCTCTGTTATGTTTCCCTGATACCAGTTCACAGTCTCAATGCCAGTTGCTAGAATCCTCCAGTCATGTTCAGAATAAACTAAAGTGAAGTTTCGCCTTTCACAGAATTGTTGAGGCACGTGATTAACATCACGTGATACAGGACAATTATCGGCTCACTAGCCGTTACAGTGGCCCTGCATTCACACGTCGTTGATTGAAAATAAATAAGTACTCGCGACCTCCCTCGGCTGCCAACCGTAACGCATTACCGCCACCAATTAACCGCCCACGCCGAAATTTACACCTGAAGTTATAAGCAAAGCGTGACGCACAAATCTGGGAGATAGCTCTTTGGGATGGACGTGAGAGGGATCAGGATAAGTTCACAAGCTGATGCAAAGGATGGATATATTCTTGACGGGCGTGAAATTTCGAATTTTGGCAAGGAGTTTTATTAACTGAGCTTTGTGCGCGCCAACACTTTGATTGCGAGAGTGCAGCTGACACTTTCAGAACAAGCCGATCATGGAAGGCGCCGTGGTCCACGTCCTGGTGGTATTCTCCAATATAGTTTAAGTAGCCTGGGCACTTACCACGTTTCGTGCAGAGAAAATTCAGCGGATGGAGGCATATCTGGATAACTCAAGGTATTTTTTAGGAAGTTTCCCTGGTTGGGTATTTACGGATAAGGGTTGATTTGGGGTGAAGTTAAGCCGCCATAACTTCTCAGTGGTACTTGCAAATGAAATCCGAGGCATGAATGCTCTTCTTGTATATTGCCATCTTTTCTGTAAATCTTCTCTCATACTGTGTCATAACTAGATAGCTGCATGTGCAATTAAATTCTGATGCTAAAAATCAAGAGCGGAAAATGCAGGCTAGTGCACAGACGCTGATCATGTACTTTACACATCCTTCACCTGCCGAGTTTAGTAAATTAATCTATCCAAATTGTCGCGACACTATTTTGGGATGTACATGAGTTAGGAGAGAGATCACAATATGTTGATAGTTAGTCACGTGGAATGGTGCAGCTTGGCGTGTCGCCCTTAAGGCTGACACGCCTTTTTTTTTTCAAATCATTTAATGTGTATTCAGCCATCTAGCTATGACACATGACCGGCGCTATATATACATGTTGGATGACTCTTTTGACGTTAGAGACACTCATACTCTGTATTTCATTCGCAAATACCACTATGAGGTATGCTTGCTTACAGAAACAGTCGACCCTCCCCCGTAAGTACCCATCAAAGGGAAACTTAAAGCCTTTGATTATCCAAGTATGCCTTCGTCATCCATGCATACCGGCGCCGCGAGAAATGTGGTTGTGTTTTGCCGGATTTGAACCAGTGATCTACGGTCTCAAGTGGGATATGTGTCCAAGCTATCCAAACTTTACCTGGGGGACCGGCCAAGAGGATGTACCACCGCACCATCCAACCATGGCAGTTTTTATAGTGTCGCCTGCACTCTCGCAGCCGAAGACTTGGCACGCACTAAAAGCTCAATTTGTAAAAACTCCTTGCCAATATTCGAGATTCCACGCCCGTCGAGACTATATCCAATCCTCTGCATCATCTTATCAACTTTCCTGATCCCTCTCACATCCATCCCAAGGAATTTTCTCCCAGATTTGTGCGCCACGCTTTGTGTCCTCCGTCGGGTATAAATATCGGCGTGGGCCTATATTTGGTGACTGGCTGAGGCCAGAGAAAGTCGACGAGAGGTGTGATCATTGGAATAAGGATGTACTAGGTCGTAGTTGTAGACTGGATGAGGCTTAGGTAGGAATCGGGCTCTTTGGGAGTGAATATTTGACATGGTGGAGTATTTTGAATCATTGCCTCGTGGGCCAACTTGTTCGATATTGCGAAATTTGACTGAACTTGGCTCTGGGAGAATATTTCACTCCCAGGCTCGTAGAGGACACCGCGTACAGGTGTTCAGTCTTGCCCTCCGGCTGACTCGCCTGTATCTAAGAAGAAAGAAGAACAAGAATCACCACATCATCGAGAGACCCATTGCGTACGCGTGCACGTGTATATTTCCAACCGACACAAATTGTATTATTCTTCACATCATCCATTAGATGATATTATCAATTATTGGAATGCTCATCTGGCATCACCTTCATAGATCACCATTATCAGTAAGAGTTTATATTTGATAACTGCTGACACCCATTGGCCACAGTGATACGCACTCAGTGTCCAACGTGCCATCAACCAGCGTGAGCGCGCCATCTCCGCGACTCACCATTGCACATGAGCCCGTGTGTTAGGCTAAGTTATACAAATGTGAACCTCTCTCAGAGTT